TGCACCTGGGCTGCCCTTTCTTCCTCTGCGGTGCCCTGCTGGGCGGCCCAAAGACATCAGAGCAGACCCTAGGTGCAGGCTCCAAAACCATGTGCGTAATTAACACATTAAAAAAATTAACACAACCAATTAATGTGTTAATTGTGAACATTAACTGTGATTGACAGCCATAATTTTATTTTTGTTTATAAAACGGGATTACAGCTATAACAAGCAATTCATTTACCTTTATAATACCTTTTAATACAGAAGAAATTATTAGAATAAAATTGGTACTTAAAGACTTGTATGAATTTGATGTCATGTCAAAGTTCATATTTTACCTTTCTGAATCTATCTGCAAGTTCATTCTGTTTGAAAAATGTAATGAACTGTTGATCTAAGCAAACAAAGCCCACATTGTCACTGACCTACAAACAGTAATTGAGTTTGAGATCAGACTTTTAATTTCAACTTTGTAAAACGTATATTTTCAGGCCCAGGCCACTGCAATCAAAATAACAAAGATTAAGTTTACTTTAGCCTTTGATAACAATGAAAGAACATTTACATTTCTTGGGCATAGAAAATAGCAGTATGAAAATGCTGAGAGGACAAGAAAGTCATTAGTAAACAAAATTAATGGTAGTAGACCTGAAAAATGTTACCTTGCTATATAAAACCTTTCACAGAATTGACAGTAGTAGGAATATAACTTTAAGGAAATCTTTCAAAGTTTTTATGAGATTTATATAGATTGGAAATCTTTATCTCAGAAGACTAAATAATTGATTAGTCGAACTAATTGAATTTACATTAGTAGATGAAGTTGATAAAGAATTTCTAGATTCATGGTGTATGGTGGGATATATTTTGGATTCAAAGTAAATTACAGCTTGGGCTCTAAGAGAAGATAGCTTTCTTGGTACAATTTTGCCAAAAAATTAGCCATATTAACTGTAATACTAGAAAACACTCTTTATTTTAGTCCTCTTTTCCTCCTTCATGCACCGGCATTATGTGCTATAGGGATCAGTTGGAATGCACAATAACTGACTTTTTATAAGCATGAAAATAAAGTACAGAAGTATGGAAATATTTCATGTTTTAGAGTTAATTTGAATCAAATAGAAAAGTATCATTTTAGCTACAGACTGTTATGGTTCAACTGTTCAATTAATTGGACACAAAAATGGGATACTGTATGCTTTTGGAATAGTTTTATAATCCTGAATTCTGAGCAATAGTAAGGGTTAATCTGAAAGTTATACAACACAAAATCTAAAAATGTAAGTTCCTTTCCACTATAGTTAATCATTTTTTCCACTCAAACTTGCATGGGTTTCTTGTAACCAGCTTTCTATTTGTTGGATTGGATTTTTTTATTTTTTTTTGCTGGGTGTGAAATTAATTAGGATGCTCAATTTTGAATACAGGTTTTCATTATGTTAAAATAGCTTTATATTTAGCATTAGAGCTAGAAAATTACAGTCAGTGGTCATGAGGAAGAAGAATCCGTTGATGTGGTAGCCCTTTTGAAGTTATTCACTGTCCATCTGTATCCCTGCTGCCTCACTTCCTGTGGTAGCGACAGAAGTATTTGGCCATACTAATAGCACATGGTAGCAACATATGGTAAGGCTCGTGGTCTACATGCAATTTACAGAGCCATGCTGTTAATCCCACAGGGCTGCTAGAGATGCTGGGTATTGAGGAGCAGGGTGAATTAGGGCAGGGCCAGAACCCTGTTGGAGATGTATGTCAGTGGCAGGGGGTGAATGACATTTGAGTTAACCTCTATGCTGCCACTTTTTATACTGCTACACTCTCTGGCTTAGGCAGGAAGTTGGACTTGATGACCTTTGAAGGTCCCTTCCAGCCATACTTCTCTGTGACACTCTGACTGTCTAGATCCAGTGTACAAGGAGGGGTGAATTTTACACTCTTGCTATAGAGTATTGACCCTCTACATAATTTCTACCAAGGGGGGACAGATATACTAAAGTGATGAGATTTGCAAGGTAGAATCCAGATGTAAATCATTGGTTGCTATATGATGGTAAGCCTTAGTAATAAGGGTGCCTGCTCTTTCTGGAGAAATAGGAATTGGGGAGTTGGAGCTATATTCCTGGCTCTGTTGGCCATATACATATCTTCCACTAGGGAGTGATGAACAGCCTGAGGCTCTATAAACTGCAAAGCTTCTAGCAAATATCTAAATGTCTATGAAAATCTTTTCCTTCCAGATATGGTTAAAGGCCACTCTCTGAATGAATTTAATCTCCCATGATCTTTTGCTTCTGCTTTGAACTCTTCTGTTCCCATTCTCCCCAGTCCTTGGCAAGATGTGTAACTCCTATGGATGTGTAAATAAGTATTATTCATTGTCAGTGTGGCATGCCGCACATGCCAGTCCCGACATGGGAGGGCCCCGGGAGGCATGGCAGGGTCCCAGAGAAACACTAGATTGCCCAGTAAGGGCAGGAAATGGTCGGTGCTTACCTGCAGGTGTGGAGCCAGCAGGAACAGAGCAGTAAGCAGCACCGTTGCCATGGTTTTCAAGCACCTGTTGCTTGAGGCTGAGAGGGCATGCAGGCTGTGACATCATAAATCCACATCTGCAGCCAGTGAGAAAAATGAGAGCAGAGCTGAGCAGTGGAGGAGAGCAGAGTAACATGCCTGCATCCAACTCCTCAATGATGAGTGGGGTACGAAACCCCACCAGTTCCTCAGTCTGGAAATCCAGAGGGATCTCTAGTCACCCAGTGATCCGGGGCTGCCTGGAGGCTCTTCATGGACCCCAGCACCCTGATACTGAAATAGAGAGCATGTGAGTACAGCAGTGGCCGGAGTCCACCACCTGGCCATGGCAAAGTCATGGTCGATTTCTGTTTTATTTTGTTGCACTTCAATGAATCAGTTAATGTTAATTTAGAAGGCTGAAAGCCATTTGTGAATAAGGAGTCCCGACTCCAGAGGACAGTAGCGTTCCAAATATTTGACTCAGATGGGAGACTTAATCAAAGCTAGGACAGCTGAACAGCCCAGAATTGATTGGGGAGTAGTGCCTGATGGTCCACCCATTACAAATTAATTCTAAACCTGATTTATTTAAGAAAGCTGTCAAATTGATTATGTCTTTATTTATTTATTTATGTCAGCCTATGAATCAATTTGGAACTCTGATAATTTAAGAATTCCTGCGACTTAAATACAAACTGTTAATTTAGAAAAACCCACATAGTGCCTGGGTTAAGGCTAGCCGAATTGAATGTCGTCAAAAGTGAACATCAGAACCCTGGAATCACTTACAGGTCTGGCATTCCCAAAATCTACAGGGGTCAGAGACATCTGACCATGTCTGCCTTGGGGCGGGAATATTGACAATAATCAGGCCTCGGTTGGCAAGTGGGTGGGGTGTAGGGGAGGAGGAGCCCCCCCAAAAGCACCAACATTAAGAGCATGCCTGTGGGTTGACTGTACCATACCAGGACCCTCTTTTCTACTTAACATCAAGGTGTGGTGAGAAAGCTGAGGGAAACTTTTTGTGGATGTATCACTCAATGTACCTCAGTGCCCGAGCAAAAGCAGGGCCAAGACAGGGAAGAACACTCCCGAATAGCAAGGCACCTCCTTCTGGTATAACCGGGTACATTCATATACTGATGAAAGAAAGAGGAAGAAATCAGGTATCCACGTGTGTCACGTGTAGGTAAGAGTCCTATCAGATTGAGCGAGTGAAAGAGAAATTCTTAATAGGGGATGAAGAGAGGAAAGGAGTTGGTCTTTTGTGAAGGTATGTGGTAGTGATGTGGCAGAGTGAAAATGAGCAGAATAGGCTTCCATAATAGTAAGGAAAGAGTTAGAAAGATAATCCTTCAATGGAGAGGAGGAAAATGGTCTTCCTGATAAAGATTTCCTCTTAAGATTTTCCATTTATGAGAGAAAATGAAACCAAGTGCTCCTTCATCCCTGCAACCGTTAGCACAGTGGGCAAACTAGGACTTTGTATGGAACAGTGAATGGAATGGTGAGCATTAAAGTTAAAAATGATATAGATATTAGAGATGGAAGAGACTCCATAATATCTGGAAACCAACATAGTATAATTTATGCTGCATTTCGTATTTTAGGTTTGCTTGTGCCTGTCTCATAGGGTTTCTACCATATTCCATCGGGAGCTTATTCCACACACAATACATATCCATTTCGGGAAGCTTCTCAAGCTAATTTGTGTGTTCGCTCGCTCAGTCGCTCTCTTTCAGTTTTTTAATTTAATTTATTTGCACTTATTTTATCTCTGTGTACTGGGTCGTTTCATGAATGATTTTTACATTTTCCTGATACTTGTAAACTATTACCAGTTCCTGATAAACGCACTTCATAAGGCAGGATGGTCAGGAATATTCCTTTTTTTATTTTCACTCCCTGTCACATTAGTGGTAAAAAAAGTTAATCTGATCTAGTGATGAATGTATTTTAAACTAAAACAATAATTTTTGGGGGGGTAAAACAAATGTCAGGCTGTGGATTTCTACAGTCAGCTAGGTCTAGATGCTTCTCTTATTGCATGTTGTGGCAGGAGAGAAGGATTAAATTACTGAGGCTGTCAGAAAGGACAAGTACTCTGCCATACATTATCATTATCACTAGCTTCTTGGGTCGAAGGAAATCCAGTAAATCCCTTCAAATACAAAGCAATAAAGACCACTGGTTTTTACAATCATGACTGCCACTGCCATTAACAGAAAATGACAGCTATGTGGCACACTTATATGCTGCTTGTATCTTTTCTGACAGTGTGCACATAAACCTGCCAGTGACATGACATTAGATCACATGACTGTTCAGATTTAATTCTAGTTTTCACTGTAGTTTTTTCCTTAGGAAGGTTTGAAGAAGGAAACTGGGGGCCGTTCCTCCTCATGTCCTTTTCCCTAAAAACCAAAAATGCCGCAAATTGCTTTAACTTTAGTTGATAACTACTTATATTCATTTCAGGATTTTGCTTTTCTTTGCAGTGATATATGTGGATAAGGAAAATAATCACACAATGAGAGAGCACCTGAAGTCTATACTTCAAGGACCAGAGTTGAACACTGGCAGGTAAATATTGGATGAATGAAGAAAAATAGAAATACACCAGATAGGTCTTTGAATAATTATATATAGGCTGTAATATGGTATACCTTGAAGTTGTTTCTCAATGAGGAAATATGCCTTGAAAGTTAATCATTAACTATGTAGATTTTCACAATCCCTTGAACCAGTGGGAAGGAAGAAATATTCAGCACTCATCCAAGCTATCTCAGAATCATTGTTAGCTTCCCCAGGAGCCCATCAGCACACTATAACTCCATAAAACATACTGTAGTATATTACAATATTTTATGACATTTGATATGCCTTCTAGTGAAGTGAATTGCATGTGTCACACTGGCTTTTCAGCTATGGAATGACACCTAAACTTTTGATATGGTGATATATGCCTGTCCCTTCACTGAATACTTTTTCATGTGCCATGAAATGAAGCAACTCTCTTACTGTTCATAAAAGCTATTTCCATTCTGTCACTTTTTTATGCATGGAGTTCTGGGAAAATTAAGTAAATGAATATTATCAATGTTTATCTGTGATAGATTAAAAGTGCTTTATGGATAATTCATTGCTTTCTGAACCCAAGTCTTCTAGGCAGTGTCACTCAGTCCTGTATTTAGCCTAAAGCTGTGCATAAATTCATGTAGCAGACAGCTATCTATTAGCTATACAGATGAGAAAGTTTGAACATAAATTCATTCTGCACAGCTAATTGTAATTATTTCTTCAGGTTCAAACTGGTTTGGAAGGTATACAGATTATTTCACCTTAAAAAGAAAAAGCACTTCTCTTCAGCTTCAGAGTGAATCACAAATGTGGCAGAGCAAAAGATCTGAAGAACTATGCCATTTGCAGATTGGTAGAATACCTGCTGATTGTGTTTGAAATATATAGGCTAAGTTCTGCCTTTTAAGCATGCAATTACCTACGCATTCACAACTATGCAGTTTAGACCTAATGGCAGAATTTGGCAATAAGAGAGAAGTTTCTCTTCCCTCCATTTTACTTGAAAATCTTGGCTAGGCTATCTTGTAGAACAGTTCATAGCCACTGTGAAATAATAGAGGTAACCAGCAGCATCAGTGACATTCTCACAAAGATTGAGCTTACCCTCAATTTAATTTATTTTGTATTGCTAGGGACCTTATTTTCTCTGTTTATTATAGCTTGGAGCCCTGGCCATAATGATACCTGGATGTGGCATTGATTCTGTAGCAGGGCATTAAACTATTAATCTAAATGATGCCATGCCTTGGAATGGAAACTAATATAATGATGAACACAAGAAGTTTTGGATTCATGTTTCCCATCACAAAGCCTTACATAATATCAGAGATTTTGAGCTTAAACAGGAACTACACTCATGCTTTAAACTTCAGGAAATGAAATGATTACAGATATAAATGTTAAGGGTGCACTGATAGAGATTTTTGGGGCAGATAGCCGATTTTTAAGGAAGCATATTGGCGGATACCAATCCGATTTCCAGTACGCAGCCCTGCAGCTTAAAGATCTGCATTCAGCTGGTAAGTCTGTTGTGGTAAAGAGGAGGAGGGCGGGAAGGAGTGTGGGGAGGCAGATCAAGGCCACTGCAGTGAGGAAGGAGTTGGGGCAGTGGCTGAGGTAGGCACTGTCCAACCAGGCAGGGCGTGGCACAGGATGGAGCCACAGCAGATCCGGGGGGCACAGGGAGGGTGGAGCAGCTCCTACCTCTGTGTGCACCCCAGAAGAGCATGGAGGGGCATGTGCCCCCAGATCTGCATGGGGCGCAGGCAGGGTAGGCTGCAGTTGTGGGCTGAGGCTGCGCTGGGCTCTTCCTGGTGGGGGCTGGTTCAGGCTGTGCTCAGGGCAGGCAGCTGCAGTGCTGGGAAGGGGACTATGGGTGGGGCTGCAGCCACCCCAGATTTCGCTGTAGTCTCCCCCAGAGCCCCACGTCCCCAGCACTACCCTGGCCCCAGCTCACAGCTGTAGCCCACCCTGCCTGCACCCCCTGCAGATCCAGGGCAAATGCCTTCCCCTGTGCCCTCCTGGAGTGCAAACACTGGTGGGAGCTACACCCCTCCCCCCTGTGCCTCCTGGACAAGCCGTGGCTCTGTTCTATACCCCATCCAGCCCCAGACCCACTCTCTCCCTCATCATGGAAGGCCTTGGTCTGTGCCCCCCTACCCCTTTCCTTCCTCATCCCTGTCCACCACAACAGAGTTATCAGCTCCATGCAACTCTCCAAGCTGCTGGGCTGTGCTCCGCACTGCCTACGTGCTGTGCACTGTGGCTGCGTACATGCACAAGGCATTTATCGGCCAAATTATCAGCCACATCAGGCCAATTTGCAATACAGTCAATTTGCTTTATATCGGTGCCGATTCAATATTGGACAATTCTAGTATTGTGTTCTCTTGCTGCAATTTCAACCATGCATAAAAAAAGAAATTAGGAAGAGGGGTAAATTTTGGCATCAACTCCATAATACAAAATGTAAGGACTCGGTTTGCTGATATAAAATCACTTCTAGGGCTGAGTGAATAATTTATCTTTGTAGAGAAGTTGACCTGAAATTGTTGGACATTTGGGGATTTTTACAAAATTCAGAAGTGTTCAGGTTTAGTGAAATGTTCTTTTTCATAGACATTAAGGTTGGAAGGGACCTCAGTAGATCATCGAGTCCGACCCCCTGTCCTGGGCAGGAAAGAGCACTGGAGTTAGATGACCCCAGCCAGGTGCATGTCCAGCCTCCTCTTAAAGACCCCCAAGGCAGGGGAGAGCACCACCTCCCTTGGAAGCCCATTCCAGATTCTGGCATCCCTTACTGTAAAGAAGTTCTTCCTGATATCTTCAAACTGAAATAAGTGACTTGTAGTCATTTTCAGTTTAAAAAAAAAAAAAAGATTCAGAAATGCTATTGTTGAGGTTGTTATTGTGGTGCTCATGCCCACCATCCCACTTTATATCCAGCCAAAAGCCTAGTGCAGGGGGTTTAAACACAGCCCTTTAGAGTAACCCATGGGCAGCATATGGGATGCACTGGGTGGCCCTGTATGCTGCTTGAGTGCCAGTTTCAGCTCACATCTTGGAGTGGCCAACATGAGCAGCACAGCCCCAGAGCAGCTACATGCTGCTCTGGGATTGTGATGCATGTGACAGCTGCTGTGGGGTTCCTGGGCCACACTACACAGCCCTGAAGTGACAGCAGTTCCAAGGCCCCATTGCACAGCCCCACAGTGCCAGCTCTGGATCTAGAATATGGGGCTGCTCTATGGTTCTGGTGTGGCCCATTGTCCAGGCTTGTGCCATTCATTTGGCCTGTGGGGCTGGATGAATGTGACACCCCTGTTTTAGTGGTTAGAACACCCCTCTGATGCAAGAGATTCTAGTTCAAATTCCTTTTCTGCTGATTCAGAGCAGAGTTTTAAACCAAGACAGGTGTCCCTAATTAATAGGCTATGGAGTATTTGGGGCTGGGTTTGCCCCAGTCTCTGCTGCTGAAGCTGTTGTATTACGATAAGTATGTACATATATACTAGGCTGGGTCAGGAAACTTGGAAATTAGGTTACTGTCTTGAGGACTGTCCCAGGGGCGTTCGAACAAAAGACCCCTGAGCCGTGCCCTGGGGGCCAAGGGCCAGATGTAAAAACACAGAAACAAGAAACTTGCTTACCTGCACAGTGCCACTGGAACGGACGGGAACCCACACGGGTTACAAGCCGCGCCTTTATTCAGCTGAGACCAGCCGGTGACATCACGGGCAATCACCGGCCAGCGGAAATAAAAAGGATCGCCGCGGGAAGAGCAGGGAGGCAGGAGAGCCAGCAGAAGCTCTCGACACTGGTGGCAGCCGGTGTTTACATAGCGAAGGAAAGTCCAGACGGGGAGCAGTGATAGAGGCAGCAGGGGCTCTCAGCGCAGGCAGAGGAGGACTCGAGGACTGAGAGGCGACAGGAGCGAGATACTACCGGCAACACCGAGGGAGAGTGGCATCGCAAGCCCCACTCAGCAGCAGGAAGGAAGTGGCTGCCCAGAAGCAGGGGCTGTAGCAGACCCAGGGGAGATTACGGGTTATCTCCCTGAACACACCCAGGTACCAGGTGTGGAAGACGGCTTGGCAGTGTTAGAGCCAAAGAAACTCCCAAGGCGGGGCAACAAGGGGACCCCATCAACTCCAGGCAGTAGGGCTGGTGGAACAGCCCAATAGGCCACCCATACCCTTATTTTGTTGGATCCATTTTTTTCTTTTCTCCCTGTTGGAAGGAGTGTGGTGATGGGACTGCAGGCTGCATGAACTGAGTCCCCTAGCCTTATAAGGGGCCCCCGGCACAGGGAGGTGAATGCAGCAGAGGAACACTGGTGTGGTGGCTTCCTTCCTTTTATTTTCTTTTGCCTTGTTCACATTTTTTTCATTTGCTTCCCCCTATCTCGGGGGTCCCAAAGGGGGCTGAGGCCAGAGGGTATAACTAGTAGATCTGCAGGCCACCGCAGAAGTAAAATGCACGGCGCATGAAACCCAAGAGAGGGATTGGAGTTCAGGACACACCTGCACCAGAGGAAAGGCCGCCACAAGACCTGGTGTCCCGCTGGAGGTTGGCATGAGGTTGGGGTGTAAGGGAAATGAAGTTTTTATGGATGGCCGTCAGGCGAAGTACCCACCACTGAGGGGCCTTCAGTGGTTCCCCCCCCACTGGCAATACATTCAAAGTCGTGGCAGGAAAGTTTGGGAGTGGCCAAAGAGGCGCTATAGACCTATCTCAGGGGCCACAAGAGACAGCGGTACATCCGTCACCGGCCGCTCGGGCCAAGGCAGCGCATGAGCAGCTGTTCGAGGCCAGGTGGGCACAAGGACTAAGATTCTTGGTCTGTTCCCTGTTCAAATAAATACTTAAGTTGAGGTAGTATCTTAAAAGTATTTGCCAAAAGTTGCATCTAGCCTTATTCCTTGCCTTTGTCTCTAATGCCTCAATCATGTAACTCCAGTGAGTTTGACTAGCCATAGCTACCAAAGCATTTGGCTGCCCTCTATCCTTTTCAATGTAAGATAACCAGATTTATGCACAATATTCTAAACATAGCTTTGTCAACCTCTTTTAGAGTGTTTGTGTAATTTACTGTGTGTTTCGCTATTTCATTTGATATGTATCTGAGAATTATTTCTTTTTTGTTTGGATTGTGCCAGAATTTTGAGGGTTTTATCCATCATAATCCATTAGCTCTCCTGCCTCGTGAATGTGGTGTTTGAGATATGCTCAACAATTCATGTTGTCCTTTCAAAACAAATTTTAAGATGCTTATGGGGGGGGTGTGTGTGTGTGTGTGTGTGTGTGTGTGTTGGTAATTAAAAACAAACATTTAAGTAAAGGAACTAAATATTTACTCTTAGATAATTAGCTGAACATAAAACTAAAACCCTAGAAAAGCATATTGCAATTGCTGCTAATGTATTTGAAGGCTTTTAGAAGGATTTGTTTACATTTTATTTAAGGTGTCATCTTTTGTGCACTTGGATTTTGTGCAGCTTGTTTCACATTTGGAATCATGCTTACTGAAAAATATTTAGGTGGTAAAGTTTACGAATACTCATGGCTTAAATAACATTGCCAAGTCATATCTATATAGTTAACTCTTAATTCCTGTCATTTGGTCAGTACCACTGCTTTTGGCCTCTGCACAAGCCAGTAATTCAAGTCAGACACAACTGAACACTACAATTATATGTTTGAAAGGAAAGCAATGTTTGGATGCAGTGACTGAAAGTAATGCAAACATTTTGTATAGCTGCTGGGTTTAGATATTCGGGATTGGCAAACAGGTCCTTGCTTAGGTTGGATGATAATTGTATTCAGAGGTCTTATTATTTAGACTGTATCCAAATCCTTTTAGAAAAACATAACAGCTAGTAGGTATTAGCTATGATGGGGAGAGGACTGAAGGCAATGACATAAGAGGAGAAAGAAGAGGAAAACTAAGCTGTTTTCCTTTTTTTCTGTTATGTGTGTTTGATTTGACAACAGTGGCAGAGAGTGAGAAAGTTAGTAGGAGGAAAGTTAGGACACAGAACTGGGAACAGGATGGAAAAAGATTAGCAGGTAATTGTTACACCCAGATAAAGAGAAAATCAGTTTTGATTTTCTCTTTTTTAAACTGTTTTAATGGACTCTGTACCTTATGAGTTTCAAGTAGCATTAGTGACAAATATAGGTCTCACTCAACACTAAGCAAAGTAGATAAAACTCAAAGCAATTAATCCTAGAAATCTCTAAGATGATGTACGTTATATGTGCTTGTAATTGGGTGTTATCAAGATCAAACTCTAAGCAGCGAACACATTATATTACATTATGAAGATACGGGAAAAGACTTGGGGTTGTAATTTTTGTTGCTGTTTTGGAGCATAACTAGTGGCATTTTTCCTGACTGGCACATACTCGCCTGATAACCAGTTGGGATGTGTGCTTTCCCGAATATCTTACAGCTGAATGTTTGCATTTTATGTTTAAAAATATTTCCTTCATTGAATATGGCTAGTATTTCTGATATTTGGGAGATTTATTGTCTGGTATTCCTATTCCTAATAGTTTTTCCATCTTTTTATCATGAATCAGCACAGTACCAAAATAACATGTGCTTAGAGATTGCTAGGTGATAGTAATTCTTAACTGTATTGGCAGGTCTTCTGGTTGATTAGTTTCTGTAGTATAGAAAGATTTTCACCAGCACTGAAAACCAAAACTCTGATTACATTTAATTTATCATTTTCCAATAAAAATGTAAAACCTCACATTGAAACTGAATATTTGAGGAATCTTTTTTTTTTCCTGGAGGTGAAGTTTATTTGTCCTTTCAAACAAACTGTACATGAAGGTCAGTGTGCTTAAAAAATAAACCAAAAACAAAAAATCTTATGTATTTTGTTGCATTTTTAAATCATTTTATAAAAATCTGGAAGTATGTAGGTGTAATTCCATTTTTATAAATAGAAAAACT